AAGTTTTAAAATATATATATTAAAGTTCTGTATAATTCATTGTGAAGTGATTCCATTGATTATACTGGTTTAACAGTTTCATAATCTGAAATTCCTTTCTCACAACACCCCTAAGTTGGTATATGTACATCTAAATTTACAAAATGGAAAACTAAGTTCAAAGATACGTTAAATAGTACACCCAAGGACACAATCCTAGAAAACATCAAGGTTTGGCTTATGACAAAATTCTGCTTAACTTCTGAGCTCTGCGCACTTAATCATTAAACTACACTACATTCCAGAACAAAAATAGTATAACACTTATGATTTTAACTTAGGTTAATAGCGTTGTCCCATAGCGGTACTATTTGTTCAAAAGAAGAAAGTAGAGCATGCTATCCTAGATGTTAAGGTGAGTTTGTTCCATTTCAAACGGTACGATTTTTGATGACTTATCAATTTTGTTAAATTGCCTGCATTGTGGGAACTCTAAATTTTATAGAGGTCCTTGCAAGCAATACGCTAAAAAAGAGAATACGCTTGGGGCCCGGCGTGGTGGCGCAAGTGGTTAAGGTCCTCACCTTGCACGCCCGGGCACCGGTTCTGTCCCTGGCAGCCCCGCTTCCCTTCCAGCTCCCAGCCTGTGGCCCGGGAAGGCAGTCGAGGACGGCCCAAAGCTTTGGAACCCTGCACCCGCATGGGAGACCCGGAAGAGTCTCCTAGCTTCGGATGGGCATAGCATGGGCCGTTGCACTCACTGGGGGAGTGAATCATGAGACGGAAGATCTTCCTCTCTGTCTCTCCTCTCTGTATACCTGCCTTTCCAATAAAAATAAAATAAATCTTTCCAATAAAAAAGAGAATACACTTGAAATAGTAAACTGTTATTCAAAGTGAACATTCCTGCCACGTGACATCACAGAGAAATGTCAGAGTAGAATTACTTTAAAGAGAGGAATATGTGAGATATTGTCACACTCCATAGGAGGAGAGTCTAACACATGGCCCATTTTCCTCTTGTAATGTGTATTTATCCATATGAATAACAGGGAGATACACTTGTAAAACACTTCACAACACCACAAAAGAGTGTTTACACTGATTTTAGAAAGCCATTATAGTGAGAGTGAAGATTTGTAAAAAGATCCAGGCCACAGATGCCTTTGTAGCCTAGCAATACTACAGATGCTAACGAGACAGTGGGGGCACTGGGCTAGAGTTTGCCTCAGAATCCCCTCACAAGAAGACTGTTACACTACAGAAGAATGAATAATTTTGAGTCTAAGGTATTTGGAATACTGTAAAGTTGGAAAAGCCTGGGAATAAAATAGAACAAGCAGCCTAAATTTTTACACACACAAGAAAGTACTGTGGCCATGAACAGACCCTCCAGCGGCAATTGAATGCCACCAGCGGTCAGGTGGGAAAGGGAGACCACTGAACTTCCCATCCTGCTAGAACCAGGAGGCAGAGCCTCAGTGGATGTGTATGAAAACAGAGTGGGATTCACGGACCAGCCTCACCAGGTGCCATGTTGAGTTCAGTGGAAAGGATTCTAAGGAGGGAGGGACAGCTGTGAGGCATGCAAGCGTTGAGCCTGGAGAGAACTCACTTACAGCTCATTACACTGAGCTGGAATGCGGTGCACTGGTCCCACCAGGTACCCCACCGACTTTGCATCCCCACGTAGATTCCACTCAAAATAGTTCTGGATTTCCCCCAGACCTAACTGCCAGTAGGTTCCAGCAAGAAGAGGAATAACAACAACAACAAAATCTTTACATCTTTCATAATTATCTCTCTCTTTGTATATATGTATGGTTATGTATACACACACACACATACACACACACGGGCAAAGGGCACAACTGACAGCCCTGTCAAAGTAAAGAATAAACAAATGGGACTGTATCAAACTAAGAAGCTTCTACACAGCAAAAGAAATGATCAACCAACAGAATCGGACAGAGTCTCTGCACACTACAAAACAGATAGGGAATTAATATTCAGGATTTACAAGGAGCTTCATAAACTTAAAGACAGCAGAGCAATTCTGTGAAGAAATGGGCGAAGGGAATGAATGGCTATTTTTCAAAAGCACAAATTCAAGTATCTAACATACATATCAATCAAGGCCCAGGCTGCCGAGCTATTGGAGAAACGCAAATAAAACCAAACTGAGGTTGCACCTAAGTGCAGTGAGACTGTAGGATATTCAGAAATCTAACACTAAACAACTGTTGTCACAGATGTGGGGAGAAGGTGCCCCAGTTCACTGCTGGTAAGAATGCAGGTTATTGAAGCTATTGTGGAAGTCAATATGGAGAGTGCTAAGACAACTGAAAACTGACTTAGCATGTAACCCAGCTTTCCTGCTCCTGGGGATATATCTAAAGTAAGTAAAACTGGCCTATGAGAAAGTGACCTGCAACGCTGTATTTATAGCGGCACAATCCACAATACTAAAAACAACTCAGATGCCTGTCTACCATTTGCAACAAAATGGTCCCAACTGGAGACCATTAAGCTTAGTAAAATAAGCTAATCCCCAAAGGATAAAGATCCTGTGTTCACTCCAAGGTAACCTTCATGCAAAACACAAGATAAGTAGATATACAGGTAAATATGTACATACATGTACATACACATATTGTCATAGATGAGTTGTAATGGAGACTAGCATACTGATATGTTCTAGTATATACCTCTACTCCAGAATAAAAGGAGGACTCCCAATGAAACCATGAAATATGCCTTGACAATAGGACACTAGACTTTCTATCATTGTCTATATCTGCAATGTCACAATGTACTTCAATAGCAGAATGTTGGACTTTTGACTGTTGCAGAAGAACAACATTATTGTAATAGTATGGGGGGGAAGAGTTGGGAAAATGTAGGGCAAAGGGGGAAAATACCTGTGCAAATGGATCTGTATCATGTAAAACAATAAGATTAAGAATAAAAAGAAATCCTTGCAGGGAAACCCTGGAAAGGTTGCAAGATAGCATCTGCCCTGTTTTTAAATATTTATGATTTGGGGGGGGGGGGAAGTCAGATTTACAGAGAGGAAGAGAGAAAGATCTTCAATTCATTGGTTCACCCCTCCAAATGGCCTCAACAGCCTGACCTGGGCTGATCAGAAGCCAGGAGCCAGGAGCTTCTTCTAGGACTTGCACACAGAGGCAGGGTTCCAAGGCCTTGGGCTGTGCACATATGCATATGCACATGCACACACACACATACACACACAGTATCCCCTCCCCACTAAAAGCAAAGTACTAGAAACTTGACCTCTAGTAAAGTAAGGAAATAGAATATGAAGTTTCCAGTTTCCAACGGGAAAGTGACCTTGCTACTGTGTTTAGTTTATAATGACCATCAGTGAGGAGCTGTCAAACTGTCATAAACACTGGGGAGACGTAACAAGGGTACAGAAAGGAAAAACAAGGAAGAAACAGGTAAAGAACTTGTTGCACTTGCACCATAATTCAGTTAATAGTATTCTACAAACAGGCAATTACAGCAGTTTGGTCACCAAACATTTTATCAAAATGAGAGAACTTCCGTTTTCTCTGATCAGTTAAAATTATGCTCTAACTTAAGTATTATCTTACAGGTGCCAGCAGGGTGTCATAGCATGTTAACCCTCCACCTGCAGTGCTGGCAATCCATACGGATATTGGTTCATGTCCTGGCTGCTCCACTTGCCATCCAGCTCCCTGCTCAAGGCCTGGCAAAACAGCAGAGAATGATCCAAGTCCTAGAGCCACTGTTCCAGTGTGGGTGACTGTCGCTGTCCTGCACAGATGGACTTGGTGCACGGAGCTGATAATAACATGGGTGGACTCTGACTGATGGTCAAAAGCCAAACTTTATTAGTGGAATCAGACTTTATACACTGAGGGTCCTATAGGACGAGGGAGGAGGCATTGAGCTTATCAACAAAGCCCATCAACTGTTTCTATACTTTTATTTGGAACTCCTTTTGTTTTGTATATTCCACCAAGTGTTCTCATTCACAGCCTTTCTACTCAACTGTTCTCATACAAATGATATCCAATCAGTTATACCAAAGGTATCCATTGGGTTGTTATCATGCAAATATTATCCAATCAATTGTAATCCTGTATCCCTGACTTTCTAGGGTCATAATACCCCTTTACAGGTGACCCAGAAGAAACCCCTGGCTTCAAACCAGCTCAGCCCTGGCCATTACACCCAACTGGGGAGTGAACCGGAGGAGAGAAGGCTTCTCTCTTGCCTTCACTCTGTGAATCTGCCTGTCAAATAAAAATCAATCTACTGCTAAAAAAACAAAAGAAAAAAAAAGCACCTGATAAAAACATTCAGGGTTATTCTTTGGTAAGTAAAGTACCAACAGTGCTGATTTTATGTGCATAGATATAATTATCTTCATATTAGCATGATAACTTATGATTTCATACTTAAGCTAACTTACTACCTCCTTAATTCACAGGATTTTTTACATGATAAAGTTTTTAAAAATATATTTGTTTATTATTTTTATTAGAAAGCCAGATTTACTGAGAGGAGAGACAAAGATCCTCCATCCAGTGTTTCACATGCCAAGTGGTCACAACAGTCAGCTGAGCTGATCCAAAGCTAGGAGCCAGGAGCTTCTTCTGGGTCTCCCTCAGAGGTACATGATCCCAAGGCGTTAGGCTGTCCTTGACTGCTTTCCCAGGCCACAGCAGGGAGCTGGGTGGAAAGTGGAGCAACTAGAATACAAAGTGGTGCCTATATGGATCCCCGTGCGTGAAACCCGTGGATTTAAGCCCTAGGCTACTTTGCTAGGCCTTACCATAGTGTTTTTTATAGTGTGACTTTTGTTCAAGGCTTAATTTGCTTTTTGGGAAGGCTGAAAGAGTGAGATCTTGCTTCTGGTTGGTACACTCCCCTGAAGCCTGCCATAGGTGGGCTGGCTGGGAGCCAGACTCCCAGAGGTCCTCCAAGTAGAAGCCTGAATACATCAGCATCTTCTGCTGCCTTCCCAGGTAGCAGCAAGTGAGATTGGAAGCAGTGCAGCTGGGAATGCAGCTGGATCTCTGATGCGGTATGCAGGTATTGCAGGTGGCACTTATTAGGCCCCACCAGAAACCCTTAGGCAAACATTAAACAATTGATTTAGGTGGATTAAAAAATCAAGGATGAGCTCTTCGGTGCTTGTGTGTGTTGTTTTTTAAAACATACTGTATTATTATGTGTGCTATCCTGTGTCTAGTTGAAAACAACGAAAACCTTTTCCAGTTCTACCGTTTGACTTTCAGTGGAGCCATTAAAAATCACGAAGATCTGGATGAGTCTTGCCTCTCGTCATCTGTGCCTCTACCCCAGGGGATGAAGAAGGTGACTCGGTGACACCTGCCTTTTCTTTGTGAAGTACACTCTTTCACCTTGGGCTGCTATAACAAGATACTGTGACTTGGGTGGCTTAAGCAGGAGACATTTCTCACAGTTCTGGAAACTAGGAGTCTGAAATTAAGATGCTGGCACAAGGAGACATACGTTAGAGCTGTTCTGCTTCCTTCCCCCTGCATCCTCAGGTGTCAGCCCTTCTCCTCAGGTGTCAGCCAGTCCACATTTCCTTTTCTGAGTGCACACAAACTGTCCTGGGGGACTTCACCCTCATAACCTCATCTAAACCTAAAGACCTTCTAAGGGCACTACATCGCAGCACCAGCAACTGAGCGGGAGGGAGACAAGCTTGGTCAGACATTCAGCTGCTGATGGGGTTCACTGGGGGTACTCGGGCTAAACGTGACAGACAGGAAAGCACACCAGTGCTTGCTCACAGTCTAAAGATCCAAGACATACCCAGAACCTACAAGGAGCCCCACACCACATCTCAGCACCACCCTGGGTAGCAAGTGAGACACAGTTAGTGTCTAGACCCTTGGAGGTTTTGGAATAGAGGGGTATACACACACACCCAACCACATGCAAATATTCTACAGATGCTGAGGGAATTTGGGCGCCCAGGAAAGCCTTTGCAACACCGTAATCCTTAGAGAACCTCTGTTATTCGCAGTCCTCACCTTGAACGCACTGGGATCCCATATGGGCACCGGTTCTAATCCCGGCAGCTCCACTTCCCATCCAGCTCCCTGCTTGTGGCCTGGGAAAGCAGTTGAGGACGGCCCAAAGCCTTGGGACCCTGCACCTGTGTGGGATACCCGGAAGAAGTTCCTGGCTCCTGGCTTCAGATAGGAGCAGCTCCAGCCATTGCGCTCACTGGGGGGGTGAATCATCGGACGAAAGATCTCCTCCTCTCTGTATATCTGACTTTGTAATAAAAAAAAATAAATCTTTAAAACAATGACTTTCTTAGGTACCTTCAGCATTAAGGCCAAATTTTTGCAAGTTCAACAGGAGCCACCACAGACAGCACTCTTCACAGAAAATGCTCAACTGAAAGTCTGTACCTGTGTGACTTTCCATCCGTAAAACTCGAACGAGCATCCCTAGCATCATAGCTTTGGTAAACCAGGTCCTGAGTTTCAACCTAGGCTGTAGGCTTTGGGCGCTCATCCTCCCCTTCCGGCCTGGGCCCTTTTCCCGCCAACTACTCCGGCCTGGCTCCGCCCCCAGCCCCGCCCCTCAGGTCGCTCGCGTCGCTTCCCAGGCGTGTTTCAGTGGCCCTGACAGGCTCCGCCCACCGCGCCTTCCAGTGTGTTCTGCGACCCCGCCCCTCCCGCGGACCGAGGCGGAGGCGACCCTCAGCCGCCCCGCGCGACTCGGGGAGCAGGCCCCGCCCACCCCGTTCGCGTGCCTTCGAGGCCCCGCCCCCTCCGGCACGCCCCGCCCCCAGCCGTCCCGCCTTCGCGAACGCGCGAATCTGTCGGCCGGGATCCGTGTGGCAGCCTGTGGTGGCGTCCGGCTTTCCGAGGAACCTTTCCCGCGAGAGCGGGGCGATGCAGGGCATCCGGCAGCCGAGGGTCCGCTCAGGGAACGAACCCTGGCCCGCGCCCGCCATGGAGCCGGCGGGTCCCGGGGCCTGGGCCCACAGCCGCGCCGCGCTGGTCCGCCTGGAGAACCTGCTGCGCTGCTCGCGCTGGTAAGGACCGAGTGTGGCCGTGAGGCCTGGGGCAGCGGGATCCCGCCGTCGCCGCCCGGCCGTCTGCTGTGGACTTTTCCTCCCTCCCCACTCTCCTTGGATCCTTCCGGGCGGCTTTCCCGTCTTGTCCTCGCGCCAAACCCAAGTTTAAACGGTAGTTGGTTGCCGACTTGACGGCCTGGAGGTGTGGCTTCAGCCCAAGCCGAGACTCCCCGGCCCGCCCCTCGAGTTTGAATCCGCAGGGCTGGGGCGGAGCCGGCGCGGCCGCGGTTCCCCTGGGTCACCCTGGGTCACCCCCGGGCCGCGGTCCCCCTGGGTCACCCCTGGGTCACCCCCGGGCCGCGGTTCCCCTGGGTCACCCTGGGTCACCCCCGGGCCGCGGTCCCCCTGGGTCACCCCTGGGTCACCCCCGGGCCGCGGTTCCCCTGGTCACCCCTGGGCCGCGGTCCCCCTGGGTCACCCCTGGGTCACCCCCGGGCCGCGGTTCCCCTGGTCACCCCTGGGCCGCGGTCCCCCTGGGTCACCCCTGGGTCACCCCCGGGCCGCGGTCCCCCTGGGTCACCCCCGGGCCGCGGTCCCCCTGGGTCACCCCTGGGTCACCCCCGGGCCGCGGTTCCCCTGGTCACCCCTGGGCCGCGGTCCCCCTGGGTCACCCCTGGGTCACCCCTGGGCCGCGGTCCCCCTGGGTCACCCCTGGGTCACCCCCGGGCCGCGGTCTCCCTCGGTCACCCCTGGGTCACCCCCGGGCCGCGGTTCCCCTGGTCACCCCCGGGCCGCGGTTCCCCTGGGCTCGGGGCTCCCCTCCTCGCCGTGGTTACTCAGCCCGCGGCTTCTTAGTTTTGTTTTTGTTTTTAACGTGTCACGTCCGTTACCAGCTTCCTGGGGTGGGAGAGGGGCTGTCAGTGGACTTTTTTTCAGATTCAAGAGTGGTGGTGTGTTGGGCACGGCCCCTCTGTTGCTCATTTCCTTGGTCTAAAGATTCCACGTCTAGCGTCCCTGCCCTCGGACCTTGCATCTGCCCGAGCGCCTTTCCCTCCTGGACCTCAGAGAGGCCAGAAGCTTCTTCCAGATCTCGCTCGTGGCTTCAGGGACCCAAGGACTTGGGCCATTTTCTGTTGCTCTCCCAGGCGCTGAGCACGCAGCTGCCTGAGAAGTGGAGCAGCCGGGACCCGAACTGTCGCCCATAGGGGTTAATTAATGGCACTGCAGACAAAGGCTTATCCCTCCCCCCCAACAGCGCCAGCCCTCCTCTCTCAACTCTGCTTCAGTGGGTAAAATATCAAGTTTAAAAAACAGTTTTTTGGTAAAATTTTAGGATACATGGGCTTTAACATCCATCGTGAATAGCACAAGGCCAGTTATACTTAACCCAAACGGGACAAAACTTTTCTGTCTGCCTCTGCCTTTGCTCTTGACCGACATCATTGCGGGCAGTGGGGAGCCACACAGGATGGTGCTGCTGGCCGCTGCTGCCTGTTGCCATTCGAAACTGGTGTGGTGGAAGCTGTGCCAGAGTTCTGCCCAGCAGGCTGGTGACTACCCCGACTACCCTCACACTCTGCTTGCAGCTGTCATCTGCCTCCTGTCCCCGGCTGTCATCTGCCTTGTGTAGGCACCCATGGTCTCTTCAGCAGAAATTACCATTACAGGGCATCCTTTCTTAACCTTTCATAGAACCATGTCTTCAAGGCAAAGCTAATGAGGATGTTCACAGGACCAGTTGTGACCTGTGTCTTAGGACCACATCTCATAGCCAGAGATAGAAGCTGCTTAAAAATGGGGGCAAATGAGAGAGGAAGACCTTATTGAGAAGCTGGCACAGAGCAGGAAATGCCAGTAGCAGACGCAGTGTGAAAGCCCCAGGTGCCATGTGGCACTGTTTGGGCATGGGCATCATTGGGCACTCCTGTTGGGTGGGTCTAACATGTTTGACAGCGGAGACTTGGGTCTTTTAACATTCAAAAGTTAACAAGATAACTCGCCTTTTATTTTTGAGAATGTGTGATTTTTCCCCCTGAATTGGCTCTTTTAAAAAATGATCAAGATTAATTTTGTATTCTCATGTATGGTTTACATATTTATTTCATTTATCTGAAAGAGAGGAGAGAGCTCTCCCATGCACTGGTTGACTGTAGATGCAGTTTTCTGGGGCTGACCCAGACTGAAGCCTGGAGTTGAGGGCTCGGTCCTGTGATGATTCAGGTGAGGCCACTGCTTGCCTTGGCAGCATTTCAGTTAAGGTGCTGGTTTAAGTCCTGCTTTACTTCCGATCCAGCTCCCTTCTCATGCTCCTGGTAAAGCAGTAGAAGATGGCCCAAGTACTTAGGCCCTTGTTATCTGCATGGGAAGCCCAGACCCAAGTCTTGATTCCACCTGGCCTAGGCCTAGCTGTTGCAGGATGTGGAGAGTGAAGCAGCAGATGGGCCTGTCCCTGCTGTGTTCCCAGGCCATCAGCAGGGAGCTGCATGAAAGTGTAGCTGCTGATATTTGAGCTGGTGGCCACGTGGGATACTGGCACCCCAGGTGGAAGATTAGCTTGCTATGCCACCACACCAGCTCCCTTATTTGATCTTTTCATTAACTTTCTTTTCTTCATTTGCCAATTGACATATTAATAGTTTCTAGGTTATTATGGAGATTAAATGAGTTAGTATTTATGAGATACTTAGAGCATTACCTATTCTGTGCCAAGAACTATATTATGATTCTTCATAAGATAAGGCTATATCTCCTGACTCAAGTATTCGTCTTTTGTCTTCCAGAATTTCAGATGTTCAGAGGCATTCTGGCAGGCTCTCGGTGGGATGACTGCTCTCTTTGGTTTGCTCTGGGTTACTCGTTAGAGCAGCAATAACCACTGTGGCCCTGGGTGGCAAGGTGATTGCGCATTGTCCGCCCTTAAAGAGCATAGGCTCATTATAAGGCTAGAGTGTGTCCGTGGTTCAGGGCAGGGGCTGTGGAGAAGAGTACTTAGATGGGGCAGTGAAGTAGGCCTTGAGGTGTAGACAGATATTGATAAAATGGAGTCAAGTGAGGCGTTGTTGGCAAATAATGTACTAAAAGGAAATGTAAAATCAGTGTGGAACAGGACAAGTGGCAGCGAGGTAAGACAGGATCAAATGATATAGTATTAGTTGTCTATCTAGAAAACAGTCATTTGGTTCACAAAGTTAGTTTTCTAAGGAGAGCAGTTTGTATACCTTCGCTGGAACTCGGCTGTCTTCATCTGTAAAAAGTAAATCAATTAGTGGCTTTGTTATTTTATTATTCTCTTGTTATCGTATATCCGAAAGGCAGAGAGACAGTCAGTTGTACTCCCTGAATGTCGGCAGTAGCTGAGGCTAGGGCACCTGGAGCTCGGAGCCGGGAACGTGATGCAGGGCTTCTGTGGGAGCCTCCCAGGTGTTTGAGCCAGCGCCTGCTGATGTCCCAGCTGCACACTAGCAGGCAGCTGCACCTGAAGCAGAGTCAGAACGTGAGCCAGAAACTGATAGGGTTGCAGGAATCTCAGCCGATGCACCAGACATCCACCAGTGATTTTTAAGGCTACCTCCAGTTTGCAGATTTCAGAATTATTTTTGCCCATTGGGTTTAAAATATTGCTCAGAAGATTTTTATTGAGGTTTGGCATGCAGAAAATGTCATAGATTATTGATGTCCAGTTTGTATCATGTCTTTCAAATAAAAATTGTGAGATTTATTTGTGGGTTATTTTGATTGTTTGATTGAAATCTGTCTTCTTCAGCTATACCACACTTTTTTTTAGGTTATTTTTATTGGAAAGTCATATTTACAGAGAGGAGAGACAGAGAAAGATCTGCTGTTAGTTGGTTCACTCCCCAAGTGGCCACAATGGCCGGAGCTGAGCTGATCTGAAGCCAGGAGCCAGGAGCTTCTTCTGGGTCTTTGGGCCATCCTCCACTGCTTTCCCAGGCCACAGGCAGGGAGCTGGAAGGGAAGTGGAGAAGCCTAGACTCTAACTGGTGCCCTTATAGGATCCCGGCAGATGCAAGGCAAGGATTTAGCCACGAGGCTATTGCGCCAAGCCCATACCACACATTTTGTAAAGACAAGTTCACATTTGTAACCATGGTACCAGATACACTGTTTCTTACATTAAAATGAAGGAATTTAGGTTAAGATAGGATGTGAGGCCCATCCAAATGATAATGTTCGAAGCACCAAGTCAGTTGTCAAGGATCCTTGTTAGGTCCGTGGTCAGTTACCTATAGCGAACAGTGACAAAGGCTCTAGTGTGGATGTAGAAAAATGCAGAAAGATGCAGGTCTGCCTTGTGGGATAGTGCTAGAACACACCATGCACAGTTTCACGATAGACACTTACAGGAAGCTTGTGGCTGCCAGGAGAATTAGCAGACGCATTGAGTATTCTTTTTACCTTTTCCTGTAGCATAGGCCGTTGCCTTACAGGTGAGATTATTACTGTGTGGATCTGGGCTCAAGGAAGAGATTATAGGATAGGAATGTAAGCTCGAGAGCCATCTGCATTTAAGAGGTTTTAAACGCATATTTCCGAAACTGGAGAGGAAGCCAATATAAAAAGAAATGCCCACAGCTGAGCCTCGCAAACTCAGTATTTGTGCCTTAGGTGGAAGAGATGAAATTTTAAAAAGCAGGCAAATCAGCACTTACTTTGCTATTCTTTTACATGGGAGGAAGGGCAGAGAAGATAGAGTGGCCAACACTGTTAGGGTTGGGAATGCCTGATATTCTTTATGGCTTATCTGTCTTGTTTAGTAAATTCTTTTGTAAATCATCGGCAAATTTCTGTTTTAGAATGCTCACCCCATTCATTTCACATTTATGACTTGATTCTTATTTTTTCCCCATTTGATTTACTTGAATCCAGCATATAAAATACCTATACAAAACAAGATACTTCCATATCAGATCTGGAAGGCTTTATTTATTCTTACAGTTAACATAAGAAATTCATTTGCTTGGAAAGGTTATACATTTTGATGTTAATCTGCATCTGCA